GACTGGAAGACTGTCTGGGATGGTGCATCAAAGGGTAGACTGATTCCATGGGTATTTTGAGATCGCGATCAGTCATCTTGATCACACCAAGAGCGCTTCGTAATCATAGACTTTGAGCGAAAAAAAAAAACAAGCGGAATCCTTAGACGTACTCGTAAACGTCACCAAATTTATCCGCAATCACGATGTTTTTACCGTTCGGAGAGACGGCGATCGAAGTAGCGCGTTTGATCAATTGTCTGAGGAACCAAGAACCAGACATCAGCCAAGGGGGAGAATGACTCAGGGATGAGCAAGAGGGGGGGCCGACCTGGAGTGGAGCAGCTTCAAGTCGGGCAACTGCCAAGTTTTGAGGAGCTTATCCTCGCCGGTCGAGATGAGTAGTGGGGCTTTCTCGGGGGCGTCAAGCTCCTGATGGATGAGTAACAGTCTGATGAGTCCGGAATGGTTCGAGCCCGGTGGATTGAGCCCGGCGTCCTCGGTCGAACAGAGGCGGGTGCCGGCGGCCCGGTCGAACAGCTGGAGATGGGAGTTGATCGCGAGCACCAGAAAGTTCTTGTCCGGGCTCACCACGAGCTGTTGGACTGGTAGTCTGGGCGCCATTCTCGAGCCTTCTGCTTCTTTTCGTTCGTTCCGAGCTTGCCCGGGGGTGTTACTGGTTGGAGGGTACGAGTCGGCTCGCGATCGGAAGGCGTCCTGCAAGTTGCGCAACAGCCAACTGCTGTTCGATCGATATCCTGGACGGGTTAAGAATAAGCAGGCACGCCAGCCGTTAATTGGAAGAAGCCGAGAGTGCCGAGGGTGCGGGGATGGTAGGAGATGGGCTGCGAGTGATTTGAGTCCAGCCGATGGGCCTGGGTTGAGCCGCGCCGTCGTTTGTAAGCCGCGTGTCTGTCGTGTCCAGCAGGGGGAACCGCGCCGAAAGAGGAGAGTCTTGGTGGGCTGATTTAAAATGGGCACTTTGGATTTGGGCGGTTTGACTTGGCTTCAGTAGTGTCTCATCCCTCTTCAACGCTTCATACACCACATCAAACCAACCCCACCCTGCCGATATCAAATTTGTATTTATTATGTACCCGTCAGCACGTGTCACCTGAACCCAGCGCCACAAGCTTCATTAGACCCAGAAGGCAACCCCACCTTCAGGAACATCTCCCAGCTCACTCTGGTGAGAACCAGTGAACTTCCGATTCTTACACCAATCCATTTATATGTGTATGAAGAATCACCTGAACATTATTATAAAAAAAAAAACCTGCAGACATGGCTGTTTTTCCAAACAGATTTAAATTGACAAAGCCAGCTGATGACACTAAGAAGGATCCCATGATAATATCAACCAGCAAGGCATTCTTGTTAGACTACGTAATACTAGTTCAGAAGAAGAATTGAGCCTGAGTTAAGCTGTGTTGTTACGAATCTCCTTCGGAACCTCATGGCCATCTTGATGCCCAACAGAAGAAAGGGCGTTACCGCTCATCTAGTAAACCCATGTTGTAGTTTTTCCATGTTCCATTTTCCGGCTGGCAATTCGATTTTGAGTCGACGGCGAAGGAAGTCCTATTCCTAAGGATCGTAAGCTGGAGCGATTAGTCCCGCCCTACATCGCATGGCGTCGACCACTCCGACGGGGATCAGAGTGTCCGTCGCCCCCGTCGAGCTCCTTGGGGAAGAGCATAGTTGCTTACAACCACACGAGTCTCCATCATAATAATGATGGATCTCGCAGTATAAGCTACAGGAACCTTGATAACCTACTGACCTTGCACCAACGCCCATTCGTATGGACCAGTGACCAGTCCTCAAGACTGTGCCAAGTCTGATGTTGGCACAACCTGGACCCTTGCCATAGATTTGTGTTGGTTGTAGCAAGAGCCCGGAGGGGAATGGTCTCATGTCGGGGTCGGCTCAGAGCCTCCGTGAAGGGATTATCAGTCTCGCCGGCCTATGGCCCCGGGGCAACACACACTGCTTGCTTGGCTAACCGACTGGCCAGTGTCCAGAAGGGAAAAAAGAAAAATAAACCCTCAAAAAGGCCGAGCTAGGGACCTCCATCATCAAATCAACAATCCCAGATCAGTTTGACACTAATCATACCCTCTAATCAGCATTTCCTCCTCAAACATCCATCTTGCACAAGCGCAATCGAAGCAATTACCAATCACCATGAACTCCTCGATGACTTGCATGGTTCTTTTGTCCATCCTCCTCATGGGCTCATGTGCCGCTCTACCAGTGTAAGCTTTGAACGGATGAGCTTTAGACGCATAAGGCTTCATGAGCTCGGAGGTCGTTAAGTCTCCGGCACATCGAAGCCGTGCTTCATAACGTCCTAGAGCACGAAGCACCAAACTAACTTTTTCTTCTTCTTCTTTCTTGATCGTTTCTCTTTGCAGCGGGGGTCCTCCTGGTACTACTGGGCAATCCGCATCGTCCAATATGGCAGCCCCAACAACAGGGTATGTCATCCATTAACATTCCGGTGGACAAAACAGCAAACTCATACGAACTGTCTTTTGATCTGTTTTGTCTCTACAGCGGAGGTCCCGGTGGTCCTGGGCAAGTCGCATCTCCCCGAGCAGGAGCCCCAACGACAGGGTATGCCATCCATTCGCGTTTCAGTGGACAGAACTCCAGGCTGATTTTTACCGCAACCGTATTGTTGTCTTTTTCTCTACAGCGGAGGCAATGGTGCTCTTGGGCAAGCCGGACCTCCTAATGCAGGACCCCCAACAACAGGGTATGAGATCGACCTGCGTTCCATTGAAAAAAGAACACATCAGCTAACTCGTGCCACAATCGATTTATCTTCTTTGCTTGATTTCTTTTTCTTTACAGCGCAGGCTATGGTCCTCCTGGGCAATTCGCACCTACCAATGCAGGCCCTCCATCAACAGGGTATGCCATCCACTAGAATTCCAGCGGAAAAACCCCAAGCTCACAATCACTTCATCGTCTGTTCTGGATGTTTTTTTACAGCGGAGGAAATGGTCCTCCTCAGCAATTCACACCTCCCAATGCAGGTCTCCCAGCAACAGGGTATGTCATTCATTTTAATTCCAGTGGTCAATGCCCCCGGCTAATTTTCGAACTCCAATCGCTTCATCTGCTTTTCTGGAAACATTTGTTTCTTCGCAGCGGAAGCTATGGTCCTCCGGGGCAATTCGCACCCCCCAACGCAGGACCCTCAGGAACAGGGTATGTCATACATTAGATTTTTAGTGGGAAAAAAAAATACCAGAACTCCAATCGCTTCATGTTCTTTTCTGAAAATGTTTTTTTCTATTACAGCGGAGGTTACGGCCCTCCTGGGCAGTTCGCACCTTCCAATTATGGATCCCCAACAATGGGGTATGTCATCAATCAGCGCCGCAGTCCACAAAACATCTAGCTAATCTGTCCTACAACCGTTCTATCTTCTTTTCTGCATTTGCTTTTTTTCATTTACAGCGGAGGTTATTATGGTCCTCCTGGGCAATTCGCACCTCCCAATGCGCAATTCCCAATAGCTAGGTATGACATCCATTATCGTCCCAGTGTTTAAAACACCAAACTGATTCGAACATCACTTGATTCATCTTCTTTTCTTTCAACCATTTGTCTCTTCTACAGTGGAGCTTTTGGCGGTCCTGCGCAATTCACACTGTCCAGTCCAGCACCCCCACCAATATTGTACGTCAATCATTTTCCTAGCTCTCCAATACCATATCAAGTTGCAGCGTCCGTCATCATCGAGCAGAAGAAAACACCATGCTGATCAAAGTTCCAACTACTTTCGATTGGATTTTTTACTCTACAGCGCAGGTTATGGTAGTTTCCAACCAGTTGTCGCGCCTCCTATAGTAGCGGCTGTAACGCCAGTAGCAGTAACGTATGTCGATGACTGTCCCAGGTCTCATATATTGATCACAAATGTGAACTCTCTACTTACCATCCTGATCTTCTTTCTTTTTTGATTGATTCGGAAATCAACAGCCCACCGCCGAAATCAGCTTCATCGATCATGGACATAGTAACGAAAGGGTACGTCTTATACTAATCACCCTTCTCCAATGACCTCTGATCAAACAGAATTGGAATCTCTACTCAGCATGTCGCATATCTATTAATTACATACAAACCATCTTCTTATTCCTTCATTTTCAGACTTTCTGCAGGCGGGCTCTCTCTCCCTTCCGCAATCACCGGCGCCGTCGGCTCAGGTCTCTACTCAAGCGGATTATGAGTATCTCACAAACTTCTCAAAACTTAATTTTGTCCTCCTACAGATAATTATCGATGTGCATATGTAGCATTATTGCTGGCACATTTCTGCTGGAATCTTTCCCTCATTCACAACGTGCTCGAGCAGTGGTTGCTGTATCTTATTCATTCATCAAAACAGCTGTAGGATGTTCTTTTATTTTCTTCTGCTTGATGTCAGAGTCTATCAAGCATCATATTCATTATAGAGATCAGTCTCCAATGAATTGCTTTTATCTTACTGCATCCTTACTTTTAATTTCACCGCATCTTTATTTTTAATCTTATTACATCTTTACTCTTAATCTTATCATATCTTTATTTTTAATCTTATTGCATCTCATTATTATAATTAATCATTAATCTTATCATTGTTGAGGTGAACTGAGACAAAAGATGAGGTTGTGGAAGGATAGATTGCATTAGTGATCAGAAGAAAGAAAGCAACCTCATCAGAATGAAAGAAGAGAAGAAGAAAGAGAGAAAGACAAAGAGAGAGACTTACCTGAGACAAAAGATGAGGTTTGGAAGGATGAGGAAAGAGAAGCCTTCCACGCACTCACTCATGTCTCAGGTGTTGAGTTTAAACTCGGACATTAAGTATTTAATAGTTTAATTCAATTGATGTTCAGTTTTAATTCACGTCATCCGCGGGTCTCTATCTTCAGTTTTTGAACTTGATCAATCATTTGTCATCCCCTTCTTTCCCCTTCCTATGACTATTCACCATCTCTTATTCAAATCAAAAATCATCCCAAGGTCAACAAAATCTTGTTTGCTGATCAATCAAATCAAAAACCGGTTTTAATCATCGTTTAGTTCAAGCACTCAGGAGGAGCTAGAATCAGCTTCTGGGCAGGTAGTTAATCTCACTTGTTCTTCCTTGATTGTAATTAAAATATTGACCATTTTTATTATTCAATTTCTCTAGGCTGTATTTGCTAAACATTCCTGTGTGTATAAGAGTTAACGATTGGTAAAATCGTGTTAAGATTTTGTTATATTCTGATTTCATCTATCAGGTATTTTTTCAATGTTATATTTCATTTATTTATTTTTATCTGATTATCCATTCTAACATTGTTTTTTCTATTTTTTAAGCCTATTAATTCAAGTTCTATTGAGTTTTTTTATTAATACTGTTTCAATAAAGCAATTGACTTTACCATTTTTTACATCAGGTAAGCTACAACACTGATGACATGTGTGTGAAATGTATGTAGCATACAACTCTGAGAAGGAAGAAACATAGTGAAATCCAACTATCATTCTAATTAATCACAATTTTTGAAATACTTTGATCCAATTTGAGTCTCTTGAAAGACTGGGAATTATTAACATTGTTAGTATTTCAATACAAATACTTTTATTTTCTCCAGGGCAAATATTCTTAACACATTCTTGATTGAGATTTGAGCTGCTTGTCTCAGGTAGATGAGATTTGTTACTAATTGGGAACCTACCTCATATCTGTGTTGGGAAAAAAAATATTTCTCAATGGCTTGGACTCTGGTGTCATGACAATAAATGTCTAAGTTTCAAAACTGAGGCTCTTACCTTGCTTTGATATGATACTTACTTCAGCCACTTTATTTCAGAACCAAGCAGCAAAGCAAGCAACTGCAGACCATGGGAACAAAGCCCCAACAAGCCAGTCACCAAGGACAAGAGCAACAGCACAAGTCACAAGAAGGACCACACGGCAGTCCCGTGAGTATTCAAACAGGCCTTCTTTCCAGCTGAGACACAGAACCCAGAACTCATCATTCACATTGTTCACAGACTCATCACACATAGAATAATTCAGCCCTACTCCCCAGAATCAATCAAGATCACAACAAGTAAGTCTGTCTTTCATATGGATGTAGCAGAGTGCTTGAACACGGTATATATATAGTCAATTTTTCATATTTATTGTAAAATATGCAGCCCCCCCAACCCTATGTTAGGGAAGTGGGGTGGTACCTGTAGTGTTACCCCGTACCAGCAGTAGGCCGCTACACTTTTAGTCCAAAAAGCGTAGCGTAGCGGCACTTTTCTTTGCGCCAAAAAATCACAGTGTTAGTGTTTTTAGTGGATTTTTGCTACACTGTAGGGCCAAAAAACCGCTAACCAGTGTGTTAGTGTAGCGTAGTGGGCCCTTTTTTAGGGCCTATGTGTGTAGTGCTAGTTCAGATGTGGCAGAATTCTGCTACACTATGCTAAAGTTTAGCGGAATTCTGCTACACTACGGTTAGTGTGACTGGCCCACCGTTGCCTGTACCCGGGTACCACCTGTTTTTGTTTACCAAGAACAGACACCTGGCACCTCCTGGCGGATGCGCGGGGGTGACAGCGGTACCTGCCAAGCGGTGTCGGGTACTAATGGACAATCACTAAAAAGTGGTATGATTGCCCTTTTTGGGTAGAATCATACTCACTCCAAATAGTGTCAGCCACAGAGCACCTTTCACAGTACGTGAAATGTGCCTAGTAACTGCAAATAATAATACTTCATTGAATACAAGAAAATATTATATATTGTTGTTAAAATAGTAAATAAATAAACATGTATTTACATTTAATCTTAATTCATAAAGGGCCTTAATAAAAAAACCCAGTTTTTCCGCGTTTTGACACGGTTTTGCTGCGGCACAGCGCACACGGTTTCCGTGTTTAAACACGGTTTTGTATATAATTTTTTACCGCTTATTTTTCAAGTTTTTTTGAATTTGTAAAGTTGTTTCCTACACTTTAAAAGGTGTAGAATTTTATGGTAAAAACCATTTTCCATAAAAATGAATTTTGATTATTAATTATTTTTTTCACTCATTTCTCAATTAATTGTTTGCATACATGTATGTACCTTATTTGTTATGTTTTTTTGAAATTTTAAATTTATTTCCTAGGTTTTAATGTGCTTAGAATTCAATGGCGCAATCCAATTTTCATAAAAATGAATGGTTCATTTTTAATGATGCAATCACGTCCATTTTTTCACTTAAATTTTTAGAGCTTAATTTTCATTCTTTTTTGACATTCTAAATTTTTTTACCACACTTCAAGACATGTATAAATTTAGAGGCTTGGCTAATCGACTCCCAAAAGTTGGAGAGTCAACTCCCAAACCCCCAAAACCCCTGATTTTGGGAGTCGATCCCCCAAATCTGTCAGCAGGTTTGGGAGTCGGATCCCCAACAATTTTCAATAAAAAAATTGAAACCCCCGAAGGGGGAGGGAGTCGATGCCCCAAAACCCACTGGGTTTTGCGGGTTGTTGAGCTAAAACCAGCCCCCAATGGCTGGGAGGGAATCCTCCCGGCCATTGAGAGCACACTCTTGATGTCGGGCTTGATGGTTCAATGCACAAGAGTGCATACCTCTTGGCCATCAAGAGTGTACACTCTCGACGGCCAAGAGAAAGCCTCTCGGTCATTGATGGTGTACACCCTTGGCCGCTGAGAGGTACACAGCCGTTGAGAGTGGACCTCTCAACAGTCGAGAGTTTACCTCTCAACGGTGGAGAGTGTACCTCTTAGGTACACTCTTGGCCGTCGAGGTGTGCATACTCAACGACCAAGAGTGTTCTCTTGGACGTTGAGGGTGCACAGCTCAACGGCCAAGGGTGAAACCCTCTCGGTCATTGAGGTGTGCACCCTCAACGACCAAGAGATCACTCTTGGCCATTGAGGGTGTACACTCTCAAGGGCCAGAAGTGCATACCTCTCGGCCGTTGAGAGTGTACACCCTCAGGCTCGGAGTGAGAGTGTGCTCTCAATGGCCGGGAGGATTCCCTCCCAGCCATTGGGGGCTGTCTTTGGCTCAACGACCCCCAAAACCCAGTGGGTTTTGGGGCATTGACTCCTTCCCCCTCCAGGGGTTTCAATTTTTTTTATTTAAAATTGTTGGGGATCCGACTCCCAAACCTGCTGACAGGTTTGGGGGATCGACTCCCAAAATTGGGGGTTTTGGGGGTTTGGGAGTTGGCTCTCCAACTTTTGGGAGTTGATTAGCCAAGCCTCTAAATTTATGGTAAAAATAATTTTGCACCAAAATAAGAACTACATCTTGTATACTGCATTTGACTGCACTGTATTTTTTGTCTAATTCTTCACTTTTTCACTCAATTGTTTGCATTACTTTTTTTACCTTATTTTTGGGCTTTAATAAAAAAACGCGGTAAATCCACGTTTACACGCGGTTTCTGCTGTGCGCAGCACACGCGGATTCCGCGTTTGCACGCGGTTTTTAATTTAATTTTTTACCACTTATTTTTCGAGTTTTTTTGAATTTTTAAAACTGTTTCCTATGTTTCAAAGTGCGTAGAATTTAATGGTAAAAACCATTTTTCATAAAGGGCCTTAATAAGAAAACCCGCATTTTCCGCGTTTTGACACGCTTTTGCTGCGGCACAGCACACGTGCATTCCGCTTTTAAACCCGCATTTTTAATTATTTTTTTTTTGCCATTAATTTCGAGTTTTTTTGATTTTTTAAAGTTGTTTCCTACACTTTAAAAGGTGTAGAATTTAATTGTAAACACCATTTTCCATAAAAATGAATTTTGATTATTAATTAATTTTTTTCACTCATTTTTCAAGTAATTGCTTGCTTTAAGTTTTTTACCTCATTTTTCAAGATTTTGTGTAACTTTAAAGTTGTTTCCTACATTATTAAGTGTTTAGAAATTTATGGTGAAATCCAATTTTCATAAAAATGAATGGATCATTTTTAATAATGCAATTACACCCATTTTTTCACTTAAATTTTTAGAGCTCAATTTTCATTCTGTTTTCACATTTTAAACTTTTTTCCTACACTTTCAGACATGTATAAATTTATGGTAAAAATTATTTTGAATCAAAGTGAGAACTACATCTTGTATACTGCATTTGACACCATTTTTTTTTATTTAACTCTTCACTTTTTCACTCAATTGTTTGCATTAATTTGTTTACCTTATTTTTTCTGCTTTTTTGAAATTTGAAAGTTGTTTCCTACATTTC